TGCAGGCTGTTTTTTTTTTCTATTTTGTTTTTGTTTTGTAAATCTCTTTTATTTTTTATTTTTCCCTTGAGGGAGTAAAGCTTTTTAAAAACCAAAATGAGATTTCTTCCTATCGGCCGTTTTCTTTCGAAAGAAAAAGAGTGGCACGCCCATAACATTTTTTTTTTAAATAGCTTTTTCTTTCTCCTCCGTCGCCTGCGAATCCCCTGGGAGTTCCATTATTTTATTTTATTTTTTGTTTTAAAGAATATTTAGCAGAGATTTCGGTGGACGAGAAAGAATGTTTCCTTGTTTTGCATCCATTTCCAAACCTCTTCACCATAAGTGGTTCAAAGGGTGGAACTTTCCTTGCTCTTTGGAATTCAGACCAGATGTTCCTGAGTGATGTCATAAAACCTAGAATAATAGGGGATTCTGGTTGTTAAAAGTCCCCATATCTGGCAATTGCCATACACATAAATTTATAATAAGTAGTGTGGATGATTGATATATTTGATATATCCATAGAACAGTGTTTCTCAACCTTGGCGACTTTAAGTCCTGTGGACTTAAAGTCGCCAAGGTTGAGAAACACTGATATAGAATATAGAGTAGCAGAATTGGAAGAGGGACCTTGAAGGTCTTCTAGTCCAACCCCCTGCTCAGGCAGGAAACCCTACACCGCTTCAGACAAAGGATTGTGCAACATCTTCTTCAAAACTTCCAATGTTGAAGCAGCCACAATTTCTCGAGGCAAGCTGTCCCACTGATTAATTCTTCTAACTGTCAGCAAATCGCTCCTTAGTTCCAAGTTGCTTCTCTCCTTGATTAGTTTCCATCCATTGCTGCTTCTGCCTTTGTGTGCTTTGGGGAATATGAATTTATAATAATCGGGGGTGGTGGTGGGGAGAATGATATATACATATAGTTTGTAATCTGCTCAGTCACTTTGTAAGGGAGCTCAGCGGCATAGGAATGTAATAAACTACAATAACAGAAGAAGAGAAGCTGGAAGGGACCTCGGAGGTCTTCTAGCCCAACCCCCTGTTGAAGCAGGAGACCCAACACCATTCTGGACACAGGGCTGTCCAGTCTCTTCTTAAAAACCTCCACAATTCCTGGTGATAAGCCAGAATCCACTGATTGATTGTTCTCCGTATCAGGAAATTTCTCCTTAGTTCTAAATTGGATATATATCTCTTTTTTTTAAATAAACAACCATATTTGGAGAGTTGAGGATCCCAGCTATGACGGAGAAGGTGCTCCATAATTTTTTTTGGGGGGGAATCATCTACAAAGGTCCCTCTTAGGGCCTAGCACATCTGGATATCTCCTTAAGTCTTTCTGTCGATCGGCAAGTTTTCCAGCAGGATTCTCTGGATGTCGAAGTGCGTCAGCCTAAACTGTTTTCCTTTGGAATTCATCTCCTTCCTTCACTGGCCTCTCTTTTAATGGAATTGACAAATGGTTTCACTTTGTCTCTCAACTTGGAAGCAGGACTGGGCGTGAATTTAACAGAATAACAAGCGTTGGAAGGGACCTGGGAGGTCTTCTAGCCCAACCCCCCCTGCTCAAGCTGGAAACCTTAGCCCATTTCAGACAAACGGGTGTCCAATATCATCTTAAGATCCTCCAGGGATTTTATGGGCCGCGCAACCTTCCTGCAGTTTTTACCCTGAAGTATCCTGGATGACTTCCATCTCCTCATCCTTCCCTGCTTGGCGGAAACATCTCCCCCCCCCCCCAAATTTGCAGCACCCTAAACTTCACCAAAAGAGTTTTGATGATGACGATGATGATTTTCCTCTTCTAGTTGGGCTCTTTCTCTCTTTATAGAAAAATCCCGGTTTCCAGACGCTTAGCTAAAATAATTCTAGAGTGTTTCAAGTGAGAACTCTTAAACTTGGCACATCTTGGCCGCCGCGAGTTATCCTTCTTCACGCGGATGGTTCCAAATATCCTGGGATTGCAGCTTCCCCGAAAGAGCCGAGGTGGCGCAGTGGTTAGGGTGCAGCACTGCAGGCCACTTCAGCTGACTTCTATCTGCAGTTCGGTGGTTCAAATCTCACCGGCTCAAGGTTGACTCAGCCTTCCATCCTTCCGAGGTGGGTGAAATGAGGACCCAGATTGTTGGGGCCGATATGCTGACTCTGTAAACCGCTTAGAGAGGGCTGAAAGCCCTATGAAGTGGTATATAAGTCTAACTGCTATTGCTATTGCTAAAATTTCGGGAATCCGTTGCCGGAAATCTGTTTTCGGGCCTCTTCGTTTTTCTTCTCTCCGCTGTAGTCAGCGGGCCTCCCTTCTCTTTGCACAAGTGAGTCACGCTGTAAAAATTGGATTTGTTTTCACTACAAATTGAAAAACAAGCAGAATCCGGTTGGATTGGAAAAAAAAGAAGGAGATACGGAAGGAATCAGGTGGAATGCTACCGGTTTGAGCCGGTTTGCCTGAAGCGGTAGTGGGAAATGTTAACCGTTTTTCCCGAATCGGTAGTAAAAAAAAAAATGCTACAGGTACGGGCGAACCGGTAGTCAGCTGAACCGCACGATTTATATTCTCTTTCTAGCGAATCTATATTGCGCAGCGCTGCTGTTCCCCCCCCCCTTCCCTCCACCCGCTTTTCTACTCGGACTCCGAAAAGGCTTCTTAGCGCCTGCGGTACGTATGTGCGTGCAAAGGAAACCGGTAGCAGATTTCAGAGCATTTCACCCCTGGAAGGAATTTTTTTTTTAAAAAAAAGAACATTTTCCTCCCAACCTGGATCATCTTCCTGTATTTTCATTCCCCCTCTTTGTTGGGAGCGCAGCTTTCTGTGTTTACAAGGGTACGCTCGTATTTTTTTAAAATTCCACTGAAAATAACACACCGCCAAAAAAAAAGGGGGGGCATAAAAGGAATATTAAGTAAAACAGCTAGCCGAACACTGCAGGATATTCCACTACCGCTTCGGGAAAACCAGTCCGAACCGCTAGAATGCCACTTCCGATAGAGGGGATGAGTTAAGTTTTTCATCGACCGAATGATGAAACCAAGAAATCAAAATACCAAGACGATACTACTTGCATTGTAACGAAGTAGGAAGCTGCCGTGGCCTAGAGGCGGGGCGCTCGCCTCACAATCAGAAGGTTGTGGGTTCGATCCTAGGTAGAGGCAAATGTAGGGACTCCTGCTTGGGCAGGGGGTTGGACTAGATGACCTGCAAGGTCCCTTCCAACTCTGTTCATCTCTTAATACCGTACGTGAAGACCAACTGTATCTTCATTTGTGGACTTTAACCATTTGTGATTTGTTCCTTCACCACACAAGTGGTGGGGCAGGATATAACATTCCCCAATGCGTTTGGGATGTGTTCCTTCTTGCCCACCCAAACCAAGAGTTTAAACTCCCTTTCCCGCCTGCTTCCTTTTTCCTTTCCCCCGTCTCTTGTTAGAAGCATACTATCTATTGCAGTGTTTCTCAACAAGGGCTACACATGGTTGTGAATTCCCTCTCTGGGTTCAGCTGCCCCGTGTGATTCTTTCAAGCAGAGAGAAGGATCGGTCCTTAGGTGCAACCATGGGTGAGGGAGACACTGACCATCCAGGGATCGCTTCCTGCCGCCATTACTACCAGTTCGGCGCCTGAAAAAGTTTGCGCGCGGGCGCTAGCTTCGCTCGCCCGCGCATCAAATACACACATACACGTTTGCACTTAAAACTTTCTGCGCACAACATTATAAAAGGAATAAAATTTACATTGTTTTCAAGGAAGATTTTTCCGCCCATGTGCAGTACAGAAAAATCAAGTTGGCGCCGCCGAGGATAGAACCGGTACGGTCATGTTTCCGCCGGAGTTACTATCTATTCGACCGTACCGGTAGGAACCCACCTCTGCTACCATCTTTCCTGGGTTTTGTGCCTTCCAGATGTGGCCCATCTCAACTGTGAGATTTGCTTGGGAAGACGCCAACTGGGCAGAAGGCCCTGAATCTGAGCTGTTGAAGAACCTCTTCAGGAGTTTGGGAGATCCTAGATCTTCTCGCTCTTCCCTAGCCGAAGCATCTTGAGGGAAGCCTCTGGAAGTTCATGCCAGTCTAGAGAGAAGCAGGGCTGATCTTACTAGATCACATAAACGGCTGAGTAAAAACTTAAGATTCTCACGGTCCATCCGGTGTGAGACGTGGATGAGGAGACCTTGATACGTGAAGTCCTCCCTTCCGTGTTGGCACATCTCAAACCACAGAGGCTTGCTGAAACCTGGAGCAGATGAGGGCTCCTCGGTGCCCTCTGAGCTGGGTAGTTTTCTTTCCGGCGTTTCACGACCCAACTAGGTAGCATCATCAGTGCTAGTAGGGAGCGGGGTTTCCTCTCTTGTGTACATAGAAGTGGCTCGCTCTGTCGATGGGAGTGTTGTCTTCTTCTTGGTAGTTCCTTGATTAAGCTGTTGTTTATCGTTTGTCTGAGTTGGTAGCACCACCTACCAAGTTCCATTAACCCTATCAAGGAACTACCAAGAGAGCAGACTTCACTCCTTTTGTAGCCTTGATGATGTTACCTAGTTGGGTCATGGAATGTCTCCAAGAATGCAATCAAACTTGGAGAGCACCAAAAATCCTACAGTCATTGTCCTCCTCCAACCCACTCCCTTCTAGCACTGATGATATTACCTAGTTGGGCCATGAAACGTCTGCAAGAAAACCACCAAGCTTAGAGAGCACCCAGGACCCCACAGTCCTTCTCCTCCTCCTCTCCACAAACCCGACTCCCTTCTAGCACTGATGATGTTACCTAGTTGGGCCATGAAANCATTGCAGGCTAATTGTGCCGACTGCCAGCAGTTCGATCCTGACTGACTCAAGGTTCACTCAGCCTTCCATCCTTCCGAGGTGGGTAAAATGAGGACCCAAATTGTTGAGGGCAAGAGGCTGACTCTGTAAACCACTTAGAGAGGGCTGTGAAAGCACTGTGAAGCGGTATATAAGTCTAAGGGCTATTGTGATTTCTATCCAACCTTGTGACGCCTGTTTCAACGTTTCCCAGGGTTACCGTCAAAAGGATTCCTACATCGCCAGCCAAGGACCCCTCCAGCACACCATTGAGGACTTCTGGCGGATGATCTGGGAGTGGAAATCCTGCTCCATCGTGATGTTGACTGAGCTGGAAGAGAGGGGCCAGGTGAGTCAACCTGGAGAAGAACCTCCAGAGGAACAAGGGGCCTTGAGATCCAGGCGCTTCCTGGATCAGGCGAAAGCTCTCCAAAACCCACCGTTTTCTTCCCCGCAACGGCCAACCAGATACCTCCGAGGTTCCTGCAAAGGAGAGATGGAGATTGGCTTCTCTTTCTCCACCGTGGCTCAGCATTGGGGTGCCGGGAAGGCGGGCTTCCCCGCGGCGTTGATTTTTTCAGGGCCTCCCGTGATTTCATTTAATCCTCCTCACAAACCCCACTCCCTTCTATCACGGATGATGTTACCTTCTTGGGTCATGAAACGTCTGCAAGAAAGCCACCAAGCTCAGAGAGCACCAAGGACCCCACAGTCCTCTTCCTCCTCCTCGCAACCCCCCCTTCCTTTTAGCACTGATGATGTTCCCTAGTTGGGTCATGAAACGTCCGCAAGGAAACCACCAAGCTCAGAGAGCACCAAGGACCCCACATTTCTTCTCCTCCCCCTTCCTCTTTTCCTCCACTCTTCAAACCCCACTCTCTCGTAGCACTGATGACGTTCCCTAGTTTGGGTAATGAAACGTCTGTAAGAAAACCACCAGACTCAGAGAGCAGGATCTCCCTCTCACTAACCAGCTGAGAACACCCTTGATCTCCACGGGTGAGAACCTAATGAGAACCACCGTTGGGGCTCAGGGCAATCCTTCCCATGCGTAGCCTTGAAGGAGAAGGCGTCAGAGGATCTCTTCTCTGTCAGAGTTTGTTGCAGAAGAACCAAATCCAGAAAGCACGCACGGATAACTGATTTAGCAGGATTCACTAACTTCTTTATATACCCGTATTTTTCAGAGTATAAGACGCAGCAGAGTATAAGACGCAGCAGAGTATAAGACGCACCAAGATTTTGAAGAGGCAAATTAAAAAAAATTTTTTTTTGCACTCTGCAGACCTCCCCAAAATGGCCTGTTTTTTTGCAAAAACAGGCCCATTTTTTGTCAAAAAAAAGGGCATGCATAGCTTTTAGGAGGCTTCCAGAGTGCTCCTGGGGACCGGGGAGGGCAAAATTGAGCAAAAAAACGGCCCATTGTTCTCTCATTTCTGCCCTCCCCAGCCCCCAGGAGCACTCTGGAAGCCTCCTAAAGGCTCTGCACGGCCATTTTTGCAAAGGGGGCAGGGTTTCGGGAGGCTAAAAATGCTGTATTCAGTGTATAAGACGCACCCAGATTTTCAGCCTCTTTTTTGAGGGAAAAGGGTGCGTCTTATACTCTGAAAAATACGGTACATAATGAGTAAATGTGCAATACCAATAGTGGATTCTCTAACGTGGTAGTAGCTGCAGGCAAAAACACAGTCAGCGGAGAGGTTGGTTTCCGAGTTCAGAGCTTAGTACAGCTGAGCCACGCCCAGACTTCTTCCTTAAGTTTCTGTTTCCAAATAAGCCTCATTGGCTGACCTAGTTACCATGTCTCTGCCAGTTCATGAATATGCTGACATTCTCGGTGAGCTTTCTCATGGTCCTGTCTTTCCTGTTTCCTGGCTCGCTAGGAGAAGTGTGGTCAGTATTGGCCCTCGGACGGCTCTGTATCTTACGGAGACATCACCATAGAACTGAAGAAGGAGGAAGAATGTGAAAGCTACACAGTGCGGGATCTGCTGGTGACCAACAACAGGGTACGTGTTGAGAAACGTGGCCTAGGTTTGCAAGGACGCGCCAGTCATGACAGGTTCCTGGTCTCTGGGAAAGGATGCAGAGCCGATGATACACTGTACAGGTAGTCCTCAACTGACGACCAGAGTTATATGTTAAATGACCAAAGTTATGACGGTGCCGAGTGAATAGTGCTTACGACTGAATACAACTCTGAGTTTTTGGCATCCCAGCGTTCCCAAACTCATGAGATCACAATCTGGTTGCTCGGCAATCAGCTCACACTTATGACTGGTTGCAGAGTGATCTTGCAATCGACATTTGCAACCTTTCCCACTGGCTTCCCCAGAAAGACAATGGGGAAGCCAGCAGAGAACGTCACAAGTTGCTAGAGTAAGTCTCTCCCATCCTCCCCATCCCCTCTGCATTTGCACTTGAGGTCCTCCATCCCATGCACTTTCCTTGAGCCTTACTACATCTCCCTTGCCCATCCTCCCTGAGCCTCACCATGCCTCCTGCACGCCCTTGCACACTTTCCCTGAGCCTCGATGCACCTCCCTGGCACCTCCATGCACTCTTCTCACCACGCCTTCTTGCACCCTCGTGCGCCGCCCCCCCCCCTCTCCCATCCACCAGCAACCTGCCAATCTGCTTTCAAGCCACCTTGAAAACTTTCCACTTCTTTCTGGCTTCCCCTATGACTTAGTTTGGGAAGCCAGCAGGAAATGCCCTCGCCTAACAATCTCTTAATTCACTTAACAGTGGCAACAGAGACCACAGGGATGGCCATCATTAAGCAACGCAGTCATGTTTTACAACTGCATTGCTAACTATGGGAAAATCTGGTCCCAATTGTCACCATAAGTCAAGGGTCACCGGGAAAAATATTTTCCGTTGTTTACAGCTCGCAAACGTTGTGCCTTTTAAGGAAGAAAGGCCTGTTGAAGCAAAGGATCTGTGCGGTGGGGGTGGGGGGAAGCTGCAGTGTTAGCAGGCTGTTTCAGATCCTTTCATAGTCAGAAAAACTCCTTGGATCACTCGGGATGGAGCGATCACGTGAAGATCACGTAAAGTATTAGTACCACTTTACAGAGCCTTAGTACGGCCACACTTGGAATACGGCATCCAGTTTTGGTCGCCACGATGTAGAAAAGATGTGGAGACTCTGGAAAGAGTGCAGAGAAGAGCAAGAAAGAAGATTAGGGGACTGGAGGCTAAAACATATGAGGAACGGTTGCAGGAACTGGGTACGTCTAGTTTAATAGAAAGAAGGACGAGGGGAGACATGATAGGAGTCTTCCAATATCTCAGGGGTTGCCACAAAGAAGAGGGAGTCAAGCCAATCATCTCCAAGCCTTACTCCCAAGTCGCCCCTTTTGTCTTAACTGTTCTTGCCTTCTGGCAGCTCTGCGCATGCGCACACTGGGAACAGGCTCCCTCTATTCCTCTGCCTCTCTGATGTCCGACTCTAGAGGCTCCGGAGGCAGCATATAAACTCCCAGATGGCCCTGGCCCCCCTCTCTGCTTCCAATGCAGAGCCCTCCTCAGAGCCTTCCCCAAACTCCAGGACTGGCCCATGTTCCTCCCCAACCTCCTCACTGTCCGACTCTGCTGCCAGCTCCGGCAGACGGTTCTACCACAAAAGGGCGAACGACAAAAGCACGCCTGACTAAACCGCGGTGACAAAACCGCGAGTTCTAAAGCGCGCCGACGAAAGAGCGCCGACAGAAGCCCACTGTAACCTTAACCCTAAACCTAAACCTTACCTTAACTTAAATCGCGCTTCTGTCGGCGCGCTGTTGTCGGCGCGTTGATGACATTGCGGTTTTAGCGCCGCGGTTTTAGCGCGCGCTTTTGTCATGCGCGCATTTGTCGGGTCACGCCGGCAGACCACATCAGAGAGAAGCAACCTAGAAATAGGTAGGAATTTCCCGACAGCGAGAACAATTAATCCGTGGAACAACATGCCACAAAAAGTCCCAACCTTGGAAGTTTTTAATGAGGGATTGGACAAATATTTGTCTGCAGTTGTATACGGTCTCCTGCTTGCTTGAGCAGGGGGTTGGACTAGAAGACCTCCAAGGTCCCTTCCAATTCTTTATTATTCTGTGGGGATCAAGTTTGCTTCAGCGTCCCTCCCCTTTTCCCCCGCAGGAAAACAAAAGCCGTCAAATCCGGCAGTTCCACTTCCACGGGTGGCCGGAGGTGGGGATCCCCAGCGACGGGAAAGGCATGATCAATATCATAGCAGCGGTGCAGAAGCAGCAGCAGCAGTCCGGCAATCACCCCATCACGGTGCATTGCAGGTAAGCAGCGGGGTTCGCCCCACGGGTGGAATCCAGCAGGTTCTGACAGGTTCTGGAGAACCGGTAGCGGAAATTTTGAGTAGTTCAGAGAACCGGCAAATGACACCTCTGGCTGGCCACGCCCTCATGTATTCTCTGCTTCCCGAGACACACAAACAAACACACACACACACACACACACACACACACCAGGCATGCATGCACGACCCCTCCCCAGACTTTGGAGGCTTTCCTGAAGCGTGGGGAGGGCGATAACGGCCTCCCCCGACGCCCCTCTGGAAGCCAGAAACGGATTGTGTCCGAACTTCCAGTTTGGTCCATTGGAGCTGTTTTTCACCCTCCCCAGGCTTCCGGAAAGCCTCTGGACCACAAAGGAAGTTTGTTTCTGTTCGTTGGGGCCGTTTTTCGCCCTTCCCAGCCTCCGGAGGCTTTCCTAAAGCCTGGGGAGATGGCGAAAGCGGCCTCCCCTGACCCTCCCGAAGAGCGAAAAGTCAGCTGGCCAGCGCACGCATGTGTGCTGGAGCTGACAGCTGGCATGCCACCAAATATGGCTCCGTGTGCTTTTCTGAAGTTTCCGGAGGTTGAAAAACAGCAGAAAATGAAGGCTGAAATCAGTTGGCCAACGGGCACAAGCACGCTGGAGCTGCCAGGGCAATGCCTTGCATGCCCTAACCCAGGGGTCGGCAAACTTAAAGACTCAGAGAGCCATTTGGAGCCGTTTCCCACAGAAAAGAAAACACTGGGAGCCACAAAGGTCCTAACAATTCTGGAGCTGACCGGAAGTTCAGTTCCCCCACCATAGAGTCTCCTCCTAGCATGGTGTCCTTTTTCC